CACACACACACACACACACACACACACACACACACACTAATAAGCGCAGTTAAACAATTTTTAGAGACCACAGTCCAGGAAATCTGAGTCATTTCATTAGGTCTATTTCTAAGGCTGATCTGTTTGTGAATGTAAACCTCATCGCCACCAAAGACAGTGTTCTACCCCTGCTGTCTTCTTCAGTCTTTGAAAAGACGGAGAGCCTTTCTTATTTGGGTATTTTGATCCTTCGGGCATTTTGTCACAGTAGCAGAAAAGTGACTAACGTACATGACTATTCCCATTTGACAGCTAAAGAAGCTGAGACTCAAAAGGCATAATTTGAGCACAAGATCTCACAGCTGATAGGCAGTAGAGTTGACCTCCTCTGTCAGCTGTCCCTGTGTCCCAGCCCTGTCCCTCGGCCCTCTCAGCATGCCTGCTCCCGGCTGGCAAGTGCCTCTTTCTCTTTTCTCCAGGAACACAAGGAAAACTCCTTCTTTCATCATTTGCGCAGTAAAAAGAAAGCGAATGCTTATTACTGCTGATGGGAATTGGCTCCCCTATAGCAAGGCGAGCAGGAGCCATGGCTTGGCTCTGAAGAAAACGACTGAATTGAGGGTTTGCCCATTGCCGATTTCTGCCAGAAGATAAATGAGGGGAAGGTCACAGACTGAACCATGAGCTGCTTCAGTCAGCAGTTGCAGGGCCCATGGGCCCATCTTGGTCCATACCTGAAGCCCCCGATTGAGAAAGCAGCTAGAGTTTGCATCTGATGTATTTACAACACACTCCTGAGCCATCAACTTTTCCATGGTGTAATAGCATTTTACCTCTTTATCAAATTTCAGTTTTATCCAGCAACCTTGGATACAATTAACATGGGCTTATACTTATCTCTGTTGTTCCAGACAGCCTGGCAGAAATCCACTGGACAAGTTCAAGAGGGTGGGGAGGCTGCCTCTTTGGAACCTCATCCTCGACAGCACTGTCTGTCCCAGTCATTAACTTTAACTTCTGTAGCTAGACAGAAAAAAATCATAGCACAGCTTCCATCTCTTTTAGACTGCGGCGTGAAAGAATGGGAAGAGTCTAGGGTAGGCTAGCATGGGGGCAAAGAGGAGCTGCTCTCTTTCCCGTGCACCTCAGATGACAGAGCCAGGGTGTCTCTGTGGTTCATTACAGAGCAGTCCATCAACTAGAGCATCCTCCTCCCTGTCACCCCAAGCACATACTGCCCTGGGCTTGCTCAGAGGGACGAAGGCCAGCCTCAGAATGGTGTCTGAGGACAGCGTGTGTCGGCACTGCCGGAGCTTCCCAACCGTGACTTGGGCTTGGAATTGAGGCCCCTTTTTCCATTGCTCCCTGCCAGGGCCCCTCAATCATAATCCCAGACAGCCCTGCGGAGGCAGCCCTGGCCTGCGTGCGAGGAGCTGGCTGGCAGAGCCTGATTTCATGGGGCTTTAGAGATGCAGGCCAGCAGAGCTGAGGGCCAGACTGCTGCCTTTTTTTTTTTTCCATCCTTGGCAGCCACACTGGGCTCTGAGCTACTTCCCAGATGGACTCTCTTCCCTAGTGGTTGCTTAGGGCCACCCAGTCTTGTTTCAGGTGCGCAGTGTAGAGGGTGAGGGTTGCAGTGTGTACAGAGTGGGCAGGGGCAGCTTGGTGAGTCTCCCATGGAGGTGCCTTCAGGCCTTCCTCCTGACCAATCAGGGTAGCCGAGCCAGGCAAAGCCCCAAGCAGCACCGAGGACCAGCCACAGCATCAGAATCCAAATACTTTACCACTTGGGAAATGGCTCAGTACTTGCTAACAGATGTGAGGACCTGAGTTCAAATCCCCAGAACCCACATAAGGCTGTACAGAGTAACCCATGCCTGTAGTCCTATTGGTCCTGTAGTGAGATGTGAGGCAGAGACAAGAGAATCTCCAGAAATTTACCGGCACGCTAGTCCAGAGGATACAGCTGCAAACAACAAGAAATAAAAGGTAAGAACTGACATCCGAAGTTGTCTTCTGACACCCTCCCCTCGCCCCCGACACACACATGTGCCATGGCATGCAAGCCTGTACTCATATGTGATCACATACATATACAACACAAACATACACACACACACACACACACACACACACACACACACACACACACACACACACCCCACTGCTTTCTTTAAATCCCTTTGGAAGATCTCTTCTGGCTGGCAAAGTTTACAGGTGACCAATACTAACCAACTCTATTGGTCTGTTTTTATGAAACATTTTAAAATCTCGAAGTAGGTACCAAAGAAGTAAGAAGGATATTGAACCCAGAGAAGGAAAGACAGGACAAAAACCAGCAGCCAAGCACTGTCCCTGGCAGAAGGGTCTTCAGCCTTTAACGTGCTGCAGGTTCATAGCAGGCACTTGAAATGCAGGTGGGCCTCGCCAGGTGAGTGGTCAGAGTGTACACCCCAGTGACCTGACACATGGTATCCAAACTGCTGGTCCCTAGACCACACTAAGAGTGGTCACTAAGAGTGCTTGGAGTCTCATACATATTCATTTCAAATGAAGGTCATTTCAGCAAACAGACATTTTGTGTGAAACATCCATCTTCACTCATGTGTTCATTGATTTATGCGACCAAGAGTTATTGAGTGTGGATAATGTAACTTTCATGCTCCCCACCAGGTGAATAAATGACTCAGCCGAAGACTTCCAGGTGCCCGGCATGCTCCTGTGAGTGTGTCAAGACATTCATCTTGCTCATTCAGGTAAGGCGAGCTGGAGCAAGTGTGCATCGCAGAGAGGGGAATGCAGATGTGTTAGCAAACATTCTTCTTTACTGAGGCTGTGACATGGAAAAGACAAGTTAAAGTTCCAGGGTGAGAGCAGGAGTGTGTAGTTGGTTGTTTTTTTTACTCGTTACTCTTTAGGAGCCTGCCATCCAGCTCCCAAATAAATACACACACGGAGGCTTATTCTTTCTTATGAATGCCTGGCCTTAGCTTGGCTTGTTTCTAACTAGCTTTTCTTAAATTATCCCATTTACCTTTTGCCTCTGGGCTTTTGTCTTTCTCTTTTCTGTATACATTTCTTTACTTCTTACTCCATGGCTTGCTGTGTAGCTAGGTGGCTGGGTGGCTGGGTGGCTGGGTGGCTGGGTGGCTGGCCCCTGGAGTACTCCTTTTCTTCTTTTCTCACTCCCTGATCTTCTCTTCCAAGATTTCTCCTCCTATTTATTCTCTCTGCCTGCTAGCCCCACCTATCCTTTCTCCTGCCTTGCTATTGGCCATTTAGCTCTTTATTAGACCAATCAGGTATTTTAGACAGGCACAGTAACACAGCTTCACAGAGTTAACCAAATGCAACGTAAAAGAATGCAACACATCTTTGCATAATTAAACAAATGTTTCACAGCATAAACAAATATAAGACATCTGAAATAATATTTGACAACAGGAGTGATCTGTATACATTATCTTAGACACTTTCTCTGCACAGACATGTCTATACCTAGAAGACCAAACAAAATCATAGTCTATGTACTGAATAAACATCCTTTAGTTACAAGATTGTTTTCACGTGTTAATTCTCCACTTCTGCCTTAGTCTGTTTGCACTGCTCTTACAAAATTCTAGAGACTGGGTAATGTACGGACAGTAGAATGTAGCTCCTACAGTTCTGGAGGCTTGAAGCTCAAGGTCAGGATGCTGGACGGTTTAGTGTCTGGTGAGGGTCAGGACTCTGCCTCTGAGGTTGGTACCTTGAATTCTGTCCTCTCGAAGCCAAGGGACTGAACAGCAAAGGGGACTCTGCAGTTCCTTCCTGTCCTTTATGAGAGGTGAAGTGAGCTGATGACCCTGCCTCTTTAGCACTGCTCTATTGGTAACTAAAATTCAGCACAGGGGTTTTAGGAAACATTTAGGTCACAGCAACCTCCATGTTTTAATATATTAAATTTATTCCTCACCATGATTTGTGTCACCAGTTTAGCAGTAATCAACATCAGAACAGTTTTCCTTTTTACTAAATCAAAGGACATAGAGCTAGACGGATGCTAGTGGCTTAAGAGCACATGCTTCTGTTGCAGAGGACCAAAGTTCAGTTCCCAGAACTCAAGACAGTCAGCTCCCAACTGCCTATAACTCCAGCTCCAGGGGAGCTGGCCTCCTCGGGCAACACATGCATGTATGTACACACACACACACACACACACACACACACACACACACACACACACAAAGGCATATATCTTT